CAGTTGCAATGTAGTCTGTCCCGCGCAATTTGGTCTCCACTAATGTAAGCTTGAATTATTTCAAGTTGCAGTTCAGCTGTCCGAAAACCAAACCAATTAAATTTTGTGTAATTTGCTTCTCATTTTTTACAAACTTATCGTATTGTTATTAGTTCTGACCTTATGCAAATAATTGCGTCGCGTGTATAATAATATGTGTATCTTTGTCCTCTCCTAATACAGTCCTCCCTGTCTAAGAAAAGCTTCTCTGTTACTGTATAATGAATCTGGAATAATCTCGTCTGCATTATAATTCACTATTTTCAGTCAATCCTTTTTTTTAGCATTGAAGAACTCTAAACGATTATATGACAATGCAAAACTCCCAATCCAATAAAGAGCTACACTGGAAACACCTGCTTTGCAAGACGTCACTAGATAAACCTATGAATGTTTAATCGTCAGATGCGATGTTTCTAAATATCGAGCCGCTTTAGAATTCATCTCATACACACACATACAGCTTGACAGAATAGGATGCTCAAGAAAACAGAATATAGTAAGATTGCATCTTGTTTAGGAGAGGAAATTTAAAGATAACTAAAGATAAATAGATTGCATATGTAATAGGTAGTACTCTCCAGTCAAGTTGAAGATACATCATGGAGAAAATGAAAACAACGTGAAAGTACAGTTACTGCTGTTTGTGCTCACTTGTCCTTGGAGTCAGGTAAATGGTAAGTGGTCTTAAATGCTTAACCGCGCCAGAATTTGCCAGAATATAAAATAGGTTTCACAGTGAAATATTGAAAACAATTTGAATCATTTTACAGGTTGGGAATGTGTCAATGGAAATTGTTATTATTTCAGTAATCACACGGCTAGGTGGCTTAATGCAAGACAGTATTGTCTGGATAAAGGTGCTGACCTTGCAGTTCCCTTCTCAAAGGCAAACAATGACTACCTCTATTCAATAATGAGTAAAAAAGGCATCAATAAGACTTTTATCGGATTGTTCAAGACGGCTCCAGGCCTCGGCTCAAAATTCTACAAAATCGATGGTCATATTCAAGATTTCTTTTACTGGGGAAACATGCAACCCGGTAATTTAGGTGGCAATGAAGATTGTGTCGAGATGATTGCATCAGATCCATTTTATACAGGAGGAATACATAATGATGTGCCGTGTTCCGATGAACGCCATTTTATTTGTCACATAGCGGGCAGTTGCAAAGGCGGTAAATGAGTGTGAACATTTTTAGACATCTTAACTGTCTGTATCGATATAATTATCTAAACAATTCTTAGTATTTATAGAAAACTGCGATAAAAATTGTCTTTTCATCTGCTCCATGTTAGTAATATACAGCTATTGAAATAAAAAATTATGTCAATTTTCATTAAGAATGATACATACAGTATTTAGTTACTTGAAATGATTGGATACATGCAAAGTTCTTGAGGATGTATATAATACAATTTCATAGAAACCAATTTACTAAATACCCGACTCCACTAAACCTATTGCCATCTTTAGGAGTGACAAAACTTGCGATTCATACGACTGAAATATGCTTCGTTGGCATTGATATATAGTTGAAAAGCCGGAGGTGATAGTATATGTCTGGTTTTATCAACATTGTTTTTGTTTAGCGTAGTTAAACGTCTAGTTTTTCGTTTAGCCTGTACAAGTCAAAATAGCGTACTTGTCTCACATTGACAAGGTTGTCAGGCATCCATAGGATTGATTCATGTAGTAAAATTACATGACGAAAATGGAATGAAAATTAAAATGGAGTTATGGGCACTAAGGCTGCATTTTGTTTCAGTTTATTCCGGTTCAGAAAATTCTTGACCTTCGCTTGGGGATGGGATTATGGGAATACTCAGTATTAATAATCCAAATAAATTGTAATAAAGGCCTTTTATCCTTGTCACCTGTATCGCTTCATGAATATTCAAAAGGTGTCATACGCTTGTAGTTCATGCGCACGCTCTAACAATATAAAGGATGATTGAAAGTAATTAATTAAAGCCATATTTTTTACTTCCTTCAGTTTCTTGTACACGAATATTACTCCAAATCACTCGAAAGTTTAAGTCCATTCGACAATTTTTCATCCGTGTCACAAATGTGTAAAAAGAATATGGCAAGAAAAGGTTTCTGTGAAACAAGTAAAGTATAATGTGGGACGTGACACAGTGGCTGTGACCAAATAAGTAAACTTTCAGCTTGCATTTCATGCATGTTTTTGGTGGTGCTGTGTGTTTTATGATTTGTGGTGGATGCTATATCCAGTTTAATATACATATATCAATTCACTGCGAGCTTTGTTCTTGTCACAAAGAGCGTGTTTTGCCGCTCATATTTTTTACTGTGCTAAAATTTAATTAAAAACATTGGGTGGCATAAATAATTTACAACAGCTGTTATAATTATCCAATAGACACGTTCAATTGCATCTTGCGAACGCAAGTCGAAAAGTCACGAATTGATTTTTAAAAGTACACGCGATTAAGTTGCCTTAAATGCCTAACACATTGACTACTATATTAGCAACTGCCATCATTGGTTCATTTGGCTCAAGTTAGGCAAAAAATATAGTCCAGATAATGTAAAGTTGGATGATGTTCGTTTAGGTTACGCAAAATCAAGAAGTTGGGCAAAATATCATCTTGATAAATTTAGTACTAACTGGACTGCGAACCGCAAAACATTAGAATCAAGGAACTTATAAGTTTTCTGTCTAGTATTTTTACAGTTTAAAATCTAACTCATATTACTGTACGAATTTCACAATAGGCAACTGCCTTACTTTCTTACCCCTTCACAAAGGCGGCGGAACATCGATGATTGGGGGGGGGGTATTCTTTATATATGCATGTTTTACTTTATTAGTTTCTGTTAGAATAAATTGTGTTTACGGATTACAACATATGAATTTATAAATATAGCCCCCTTAACTATCAGTGTTCCGTCCCCACTGCCCCTGGAATACTCCCTCCCCGCTTAAGATCTTTAACTTCTTTGGGTAAAATATCCCGCAACATCAAGAGAATTGGTGCTCTAAATCATGGTACAGGTTACAATGTTTAGTTTGATAGCGATACATGTAAACACATGTTTTAATGAACAAAAGTTTCGAAAATGTTAGAAATGTTTGATATGAATGAACGCCATGATCCAGAAAAATTGAATTCCACTGACGCAATTCAAAATGAAACATTGATGGAAGACTAAAGAAGAAAATAATTCATTATGTGAAATTGTGGATAAAGTTGAAACAACAATCGCAAGATTACTATTTTGTTAGTTAAATATTTTTCATGCAATAGGTGGTGTGCAACCACTCCCTTGAGAAAGAGAGAACAATGGAATTTTTGCCATGTTGGATGACATTTGCGTTGTAAATAAGGAAAAATGCTTCGTTAAAATTATTCAAAATGGCAGCCATGACATAACTTGCACACCATGAAAAGCCACATCAACTTTTTAAAAGCAAACCCTCTTAGTTGGAAATGTTTCCTGTTATATTCAAATGTTAGTAGTGAATCAAGGGTACGTGAAAATAAAATTACTAAAGTGTGTACGGGTTTGTTCTCATTTCCAAATACCTTAGAGGCAACACAATTATTAAAATTTTGCTATTTAGATACTAAATTTTATTATTTTTTAAGGTACTTAATTGAGCAGCTAGATTTTATTTTGAATATCGCTGGATTCCCCATTGTAATATGAAATATTTCATTTGAACAATTTAAAAACAAGTCTCAATAAAATTGTCATTAGAATTCAAGCTTTTATTCAAGTGCAGTTTAATGTGAACAAACAGTACATATCGTCCTCTATCTTCTGTCATTTTGAAACATATCAGTGGCGACATAAACAAACAGTTTTCTCGTCCACTTTTTCAGCCAGATCAAACTGCGTAAATTGTAGCTATTTTCTCACAGATTTGACGTATGCAGGACGAGCTTTTTTCATTTCTTTTTGCATACACCATATATACATCATGGTCCATAATGTAAGTGAATGCAGATTTAAATACGTTTGCACTCATAATCAGTGGCGTAGATAGCGGTCTGGCTGGTCGGGCCCAGCCCGACCAAATATTTTCCCAAATATGAAAAATTTGTTTTCTTTAAAATTGAATTTGCGAAAATTTTAAATTCTGCGACTCTTTTTGGAATAATCCACAGTCTATTAGATTAATATTTGTCAAATTGCGTCGTTATTAGCAAAATTATCATATTTTTAAACGTTACTTAGCAACAATGACTAGTGCATTTTTAGTGCCAGGCATTACGCAGTTTAGTCGGGCCACAGAATAGATAACATACAGAAGGGCCACTTAGCGAAAAATGCGGTCCCAAATTTTAATGCGCATGCGCTACTCCGCCATGTTGGCAGCAAGATAAACTTGCTACACTAAATAAGGGTAGCAATGTACAACTCGAAAATCTTGGCGTTAATACTTGAAAAGTTGAAATATTTATCCTGAGACGACCAAATCAAAGCTGTGCTTTAATGGGAACATACAATCAACATATTTTTATGCTTTTTCATGTACAACCAATGTGTACAATTCTATCGAGACCTGTATGAGAAATGCTGTGCCGTGGCCGTGTGGTCAAGGTTATTCGTATTTATTTATTTGTAAAGAACGGAAGCGGAGAAGCGCTTAACGAACGTCTTTAAATCAGAAACAAGAAGGAACAATGTGAAATTTATCAACGGACGGGCTACACTAAAAAAGATATATCGTATGACATTGGATTTGGTGCTTTAGAATTCAGACAAATTTAGTCATATCTCGAACACTCGATAAATGTTCATTGAGAAATTGCAAACTTGTGCAATTGTATTTAATGCCAATGCCATATTGTGTTGGGAAAATTCTTATATTGTATGATTGTAGCTAACTTCCAGATGCTCTTATCTATATGTTCCTTATATTTGTCATGTATTAGATAATTTAAAGTATTGATTCCGTTGTGAGGAAATAAAATTGTCCTCTTGCTTCTATTAATATATATATATTGTTATTTTCGTTACATCGCTGTCGCTGCATTAATTTTCAGATTAATTTTCAAGTTAAATATGCTGCACAAATATTCAGCCACACCGTTGCTGCATCGATTTGCACATATTCATCAATTGGAGCACTACCACCATCAGCCTTGGGTACAGCTGAGTTGCTTTTCAAATATGATTCGCTTTTCGATTGCGTCAATAGTACCACACTGAAATCAGCAAAAGAACAAAGAAGTGCAATAAGCAACAGCAATAATCACATTGCTTTTCTCAAAGAAGCAATGTCCTTTATCCAGGGAATCAAAGTGGTAAAAGATGGTAAAAACATCACAGGCAGAATCAAATCACTGAAGGGATGGCTTATATCTATAAAGGCCATTATCTGTCTCTGGACCTATCTTCATGCCTCACATAATTTTGCATTCTTGCTTACCAGAAGATTAATCACAGATGCTCTAGAGAATTTTTTTGGAACAATATGCCAGCAATGAGGTAATTCTGACAATCCCACGCCAATACAATTTATCAGAGCTTTTCGAAAGGTTTTTTTCAGTTAACTTTTGACCTCTTCCAAAGGAGACTGTTCTAAAGGTATGGACACTCTGCTAACACAATTTAAAAAAAAAAAGCCCAAACCATTTAGTATGCCACATACCCATGCAAAAGCTCCAAGTAACTCACTGTTGATTGGTGAAAATGACTACCGAGAACAAAATATTAGCAACAATTTATTGCTCAAAAATGCTGCCTATGTTTCAGGATATTTGCTAAGCAAAGCTTTCAAAATCCACAGCTGTCTCCAATGTAAGAACGTATTGACTTCAAATAACATAAACAATGATGGTAATTTGCTTTGCTATTTCAAGGCATATAAAGAACTCAACTTTGGTGGGCTGACTGCTCCTTCATCGTGCTATTTAAATTACATTATGCAACTTGAAGACACCTTCGTGGATTGCTTCTCAGTCACAACCAAGAATCTGAATGTTGGAAAGAGCATCTTGAAGAGTCTTAACATGATACCAGTGCCATTCCGTACATGTTCACAGTTTCCACTGCCATATTTGGTCAAACTTTTTTTAAAAATGCGAATTTATTACGGCATCAAATTTGCAAATCGCGAGTTTTCCTCTTCTAATAAAAGATCGCGAAAGTACATTAAAGTCAAGCATTTGTAACATTCTACAAACTTACTACAAGAAAAATTCCATAGACAAAGTTGATGATCCTTTTCATTGTAATTCGCAATACAAGCATAACCATGATTGAATGTTGGCAAGTTGGCAAAAGCATCAGACCACAATAACAAAATTTTGATTCTAAAACGTGTATTCTAACGATACGATTCGACCTAAGTTGTCAAAATTACCTTCTTTGACATTGCTCGTGACGGCATACACAAAACAAAAATGGAATAGCCATATAAATATCGAGGACGCGCCGAACTGTTTCTCATTACTATATTTTCTATTACGAACTTGCTGGAGTTATCTTGCTGCCAACATGGTGGCAATGCCTGATTGCGGGCTAAAAGTTGACAACAAAATCTTCAAAGGCTCCGACGAGAGTGGCCCTTCTGTATGTATCTATTCTGTGGTCGGGCTCTGAAAATTCAGCCCGACCAAGTAGTAAAATCTATAGTGGGATTATCTGCAATCTGATTGGTTGACAGCAACTGAGAAAACTCAAATGCGCTGTTTCGCAACATCTAGTCGGGCTCTGAAATTTCAGACTACTGTGAAGGTACCACAGGAGTCATCCTGACATTCATCCTGACATTCGTCCTCACATTCACCACAGGATTCACCACAACATTCAAAATTAGCATAAAGTGTGAAGTTGACACCACATTCATTTTAATATTATTAAATAACATCAGTTTCAGAAACAAAATAGAAAAAAACCGTATTTTTTGCTACAAAAAAGCAAAAGATGCACACGTGTTTGGTGCCGTTGTAAAGACCAAGTTATTTAGACAAGGATTATACTATTTTTATTTTGGTCGAAAGTCTTGGAGCAAATCTACAGCCTTTTAAAGACTACTTCCGCTTTTGTCTCTTTACGTTAAATAATTGCGCGATGTTTACAATGCATAAATGTTGACATCTAAAAAGGCCTAATTTTCAAGAAATAAACACGCTGGAAAATACTTGTGTTTGGTAACATCCGAAAGTACGTTTTCTGAGGATTTCAAATATATCTTTACTTTTGTGGCTTAAATTCGTGGAGCGAATCTACAGCCATGCAAAGTGGACTGTGAAGGTACCACAGGATTCAAGATAGTACGGTTTTTATACGGTAAACACGCTACAATTTACTTGTGTTTAGTATCGTCTTAAAGATCTTGTTCTGAGGATTACAAATATGTCTTTATTATTGTGGCCGAAAGTCCAGGAGCGAATCTACAGCTTGAGAAATGTGGAGACTTTTTGCGTTAATTAATAGGCAAGTTGTCATGTTGCATTATTTCACTAACGTCTAAATATGCCGGGTTTTGAACTAGTTAACACGCTGCAATATACTCGTATTTGGTATCAGATTAAAGATCTTGCTATGAGGATTACAAATATATCTTTATTATTGTGGCCGAAATTCCAGGAGCGAATCTACAGCTTGAGAAATGTGGAGACTTTTGCGTTAATTAATATTCGCGGTACTTAACTGACATGTTTATATATATCAAATTTTCATGAAGTTAACACGCTACAATTTACTTGTGTTTAGTATCGTCTTAAAGATCTTGTTCTGAGGATTACAAATATGTCTTTATTATTGTGGCCGAAAGTCCAGGAGCGAATCTACAGCTTGAGAAATGTGGAGACTTTTTGCGTTAATTAGTGTTCGCGGTACTTAACTGACATGTTTATATATATCAAATTTTCATGAAGTTAACACGCTACAATATACTTGTGTTTAGTATCAGTCTTAAAGATCTTGCTCTGAGGATTACAAATATGTCTTTATTATTGTGGCCGAAATTCCAGGAGCGAATCTACAGCTTGAGAAATGTGGAGACTTTTTGCGTTAATTAGTATTCGCGGTACTTAACTGACATGTTTATATATATCAAATTTTCATGAAGTTAACACGCTACAATTTACTTGTGTTTAGTATCGTCTTAAAGATCTTGTTCTGAGGATTACAAATATGTCTTTATTATTGTGGCCGAAAGTCCAGGAGCGAATCTACAGCTTGAGAAATGTGGAGACTTTTTGCGTTAATTAATAGGCAAGTTGTCATGTTGCATTATTTCACTAACGTCTAAATATGCCGGGTTTTGAACTAGTTAACACGCTGCAATATACTCGTATTTGGTATCAGATTAAAGATCTTGCTATGAGGATTACAAATATGTCTTTATTATTGTGGCCGAAATTCCAGGAGCGAATCTACAGCTTGAGAAATGTGGAGACTTTTGCGTTAATTAATATTCGCGGTACTTAACTGACATGTTTATATATATCTAATTTTCATGAAGTTAACACGCTACAATTTACTTGTGTTTAGTATCGTCTTAAAGATCTTGTTCTGAGGATTACAAATATGTCTTTATTATTGTGGCCGAAATTCCAGGAGCGAATCTACAGCTTTGAAAGGTGGAGATTTTGCGTTAATTAATAGGCAAGTTGTCATGTTGCATTATTTCACTAAGGTCTAAATATGCCGGGTTTTGGACTAGTTAACACGCTGCAATATACTCGTATTTGGTATCAGATTAAAGATCTTGCTATGAGGATTACAAATATGTCTTTATTATTGTGGCCGAAATTCCAGGAGCGAATCTACAGCTTGAGAAATGTGGAGACTTTTTGCGTTAATTAGTATACGCGGTACTTAACTGACATGTTTATATATATCAAATTTTCATGAAGTTAACACGCTACAATTTACTTGTGTTTAGTATCGTCTTAAAGATCTTGTTCTGAGGATTACAAATATGTCTTTATTATTGTGGCCGAAATTCCAGGAGCGAATCTACAGCTTTGAAAGGTGGAGACTTTTGCGTTAATTAATGTTCGCGGTACTTAACTGACATGTTTATATATATCAAATTTTGATGAAGTTAACACGCTGCAATTTACTTGTGTTTAGTATCGTCTTAAAGATCTTGTTCTGAGGATTACAAATATGTCTTTATTATTGTGGCCGAAATTCCAGGAGCGAATCTACAGCTTGAGAAATGTGGAGACTTTTTGCGTTAATTAATATTCGCGGTACTTAACTGACATGTTTATATATATCTAATTTTGATGAAGTTAACACGCTACAATTTACTTGTGTTTAGTATCGTCTTAAAGATCTTGTTCTGAGGATTACAAATATGTCTTTATTATTGTGGCCGAAATTCCAGGAGCGAATCTACAGCTTTGAAATGTGGAGACTTTTGCGTTAATTAATAGGCAAGTTGTCATGTTGCATTATTTCACTAACGTCTAAATATGCCGGGTTTTGAACTAGTTAACACGCTGCAATATACTCGTATTTGGTATCAGATTAAAGATCTTGCTATGAGGATTACAAATATATCTTTATTATTGTGGCCGAAATTCCAGGAGCGAATCTACAGCATGAGAAATGTGGAGACTTTTTGCGTTAATTAATATTCGCGGTACTTAACTGACATGTTTATATATATCAAATTTTCATGAAGTTAACACGCTACAATTTACTTGTGTTTAGTATCGTCTTAAAGAGCGTGTTCTGAGGATTACAAATAGGAAGAAAAATGTTTTGTTTGTTGTTTCTTTGAATGGACATATCATATAGTTTATAAACAACATGTAATTACAATAACAGCTCGTAAAAAACATTTTTTAACGTTTTAGTTAATAAATTTCCTTAAGAACTCAAAAATTTACATGCAGTTTATTGAAGAACGAGCCAAACAAAAGCTGGATGTCAGATGGCACAATGGTTTGGGCTTCTTCGTGTATACTTTTTTAGTGCTTCACGAAACAAGGTCGCAATACAACGGGGACCTGAATTTGCCCTCCATCCGGGCGAATTTAATTGATTGATAATGAATAGCTGTTTGTAATAATGATTGGACACAGGAAAGATACTTTTTCAAAAATTTTTATTTTTTTTGGCGATTTTTTTAAACTTTTTTTTTCCTCTTTCGTTAAGACTTTCTAACCTCCTTAGTCCCTGCAAAAGATGGTAAGAACAATGTGAGATAACAAAAGAAAATCATATTTATTTTTTGCATTGTTTTGAAATAAGTTTTGTTTTTGATTGATCGAATAGAGTCAGAATCAGAATGTTTTCTTTTTATTCTGTGCGAATATAGTTTAAAAAGCTTCACTACTTAATTGATGAAGTAAATTTTTAATCTTTTTTGTTTGATATATGTTTAATGAAAATCGTTCTACCTTGTAAATATATTGATAACAACTTGGCCACGCCCTTGGCCACGCCCCCTTCCACGCCAAATTCCGCGACCTCGCCATTGGGGACGACCACGCCGTCCGCCGCGGCCTCTCCTGGCACCCCGCGTCCCTCGACGCAGTTTGGTTGGGCAATCTTCGGGGGCGTGCCCCACGTCATTGCATGTGTTACATTCTGAAATAATAAAGTAATAAAATCAACATATAATTTGTGCGAACAAGTGTGTCATTAGTTTAAACTCACTTATTTCCTCTTGCTTGTTTTCGACGTCTGCTAAAAAGTTGCGAACGATAAAGACGTTAGAGATTTTCCATGCCCAACAAAATACAAAAAAAATGTATTAGAATTGGAAACCTGTTCTCAACCATGCATTTAGATGGTTGTTATCAAAAGCGATAGTGAATTTTACAGTGTTGCGGAACAGCTTTTTATACTATATTCATTGGCGTTCGCTTAACATGAAAAACGATCATAAAGATATTCAATTATCATACATGTATAAGTACTATGTTAAGCACAAGTACAAAAAACACTCTTAGTCGATATATTGTACAAATTATGCAACAAACCTTTTCGCTTCTTTCGATTTTCTTCTTCTGATTAAGACGATTCATAAAAAAAGAGATATTTTTTGTAGGTTTGAGTCATCTTTATGCAAATGTATTTAGCTATTAACATTTTGAAATTTTATATCTATTCCGAAGAACTGGCTCACCTTTACCCCCCTCTCGTTTGTTTTGAGTATCTGGAACAAAGAACACACATTAAACTGATTGGATAACATGCATGTTAATAAACACAATTCTTTTGCGACTATTCTTTAGCATAAGCACGTTTAAGTAAGGTTGATGGTGATGTAATAGAATTGAATCAACTATTGTTGAACATTGTACACTTTGCCATAAAGACAAGTTGAAATATTTCTTTTCACTTAATGCAGAAAACTAAGAAACTTTGCAAAAAATGTTACTTATCGTTTTACCATTTTGTGCTTCTTTTTCGGCCATTTCTAAATAGAAAATAATGTTTATCATTAGTTGTACAGCGTGAACAAACTTATCGTCTTATGCCCAGCGCCGATATCGCACAGTGGCAAATATGCCATGTGCCCCGCGATACATGCTAAAAGGAAGTAACAATGCGTCATGGGGTACCGCAATAAGAAAATGCCTTGGGTACCGACATGTGTAAACGCGGCGATGCTCATGCGTTTATACGAGTAAACGAACGTTCAAGCAGTGACACATTACATAAAAATGGAATCATAAATACAATAAAAAATATCATAGTTTCGCCTCCGGAGAAAGGTTAAATATTTATGCTTTAGTACCATGTGATGCAGCGTATTAATGTATAAAACTTTTGGTAGAGAATAAGGCAATCCCAAGCATAAAAACAATCAAAATATGCATATGGTTGTGTCTAAATATATATACTTATTTTACTTTGGGTAAAATTATTGAAACAATCTAGTTGCTATAAAGGATCGTTCACTTACATTTTTCCTTACACACTTCCAATAACAGACACCACGGCACACTCAACAAAAGTGAATGAGAATTATGACGCGTGATATTAACACTGGCTTCTTCATTTGTATCTCTTTTGATGGACCAATCGCATTACTACTTCTTTATGATGGACCAATCGCATTCCTAATTAGTGAACTAAAGAGAAAAGGCGGCAAAGCAAAGGCCACTCCTTTGAAGATTTCCAACTGCCGGAGAAAATTTCAGTTGTGTTGTTTGGTAGGGAAGTTACAGAATTTTTGGTAAGAGTTTCGTCTTCTACAAAAACATTAAAATGATCTCTGAACCGATCCGAGTAGGCTGTTGCTGATATTTTGTAGAAAAACTAACAAAAGGTAGCATGTTTTATTTTTTTTTGCTGATAAAAAGTAATTTCCAAAGTCAGCATACTTGACATCGACTGGAAAATGCAACAGCTTTGTGACGTATTTTGTTATTCAACGATGACGCACAGAATGTCGGTTTGGCAGATTTCAAATCAAAAATTTTAATATTGTTTTTGCAGTGATTGAAGAAACAAAACACGATAAACTGATTTTATTTCTATTGTTTGTGTCGAAGAACGATTAACCCTTGGTGCACGCATTTGCATGCGTCATCGTCATTCATCGACAAACTAGCTATGAAACAAAAGACAATGTCAGCTGTCAAGTTTGAAGACATTGTAAATCACTAAAAAAATAATATGTTGCAAAAAAATAAACATATTCATAGGTTCGAAATTTAAATAATGTAGGAGAATATAATAATAGCACGAAAAATCAAAACTCCAGAATAGTGTTGGTGTTTTAAAGTTATTTGTCAATAAAACATTACAATTTGAGAAACACGACGATTTTTAAGCGCAAACATGTTTCGACATCAGAACGACATCTTTCGATGACAAACATGTTTCGACATCAGAATGACATCTTTATTGTAAAATGGTCAGGGTTAACACGTGATTTTAATATATTCCTTCATGGTTGGTGAGTGCGTACGATTTTTATGCACGAGTAGAAGAGGATTGAAAACAAACGAGTGAGCGTAGCGAACGAGCGCACAATAAAAATCGTACAAATGAAGCGTGCAAGTGTCCATTTTGATCTCGTACATACAACATACAATTTCGCAACTGGTACTAATATATTCTAGGATGTCCTTACTTTCTGACTTTTGTTGCCCTTCAACGCCTTTTAACACAAGTTAATAAAGCTATCTTACCAGAAAGATAGCTTTATTAGACATAGACAGAAAGAGACAGAGCTCTAATTTGCTTTTAAAAGTAGCTGACCTCACTCCTATCGTAGAAATGACTCATCATAGTGAAGTACTAATACAAAATAGCGTAACTATACGATGCTTCGACTTTGAATCTAATCTATTTCATTCTTTTCTATTCTTTAAAGCAGGGGTCTCCAAACTACGGCCCGCGGGCCAGATGCGGCCCGTTGGGCCTCTCAATCCGGCCCGCAGAGACACTTAAGAAAAATAATAATATTATTAAACAAAATAAACTTTATGCAGAAAGTTCACATTATGACGCAAGCCAACTAGCAAGAGTGGCTTACGTCAATTTTTGTCCCAACTTCCTACTTAGACAGAATCTGTTTCCATTACAAAAACATTTAAGAGTTACGAGACGACCGACATTTTGCTTGTAAGACGTTGGTATTTGACAACATCTAACGTCACGAGGAAATATTGTTTTTGAAATGAAAACGAGTTCATTAATGTACAGCTCATTAGCAATTATTGGTCGCAATGCGTTTATCAAAAAAATATTTGGACTATGATCATATAAGCCCATTCTATAACGAGCATAAGCCAGGACAAAAACACCACAGCTAATGGCATCATTCTGCGCTGGAAATTTGTCTTCCCAATGCGCCGAGAATTCCGACACGAAATTTTTGTTTGCTATTTCGATACATTGACCTCTCATTCGGTAAAGTTCTTTGAAGTAAAATTTTATATTATCTACCAATGTTAGATATTGACTGCCTCTTGCCATTGGGTCGTACAAATAAATGCAACATTCAACAGTGTTGATTATTGCCATACACCAGTGACTACCTTGTCCAACATTTATAGGAATTGCAATCACGTCGTAAAGATGAAACAAAACACCTCGGTAGTGCCTCCTTAACATTTCATGAAAGCGCTCTTTATTGTTCGGCTGGCGTACGGATCGAAGTTTTGTCATGAATTGTGTCGTGAATGCAAAACTACGCAATCCAAACTTTTCCGTATTTTTTGTTAGCAATAGAAGGTAACAATTTATAACCTCATCATTGAGCCATCCAGGGTTGGAAAGAACATATGTATCGTTTGAAAAACCCTTTTCCAAAGGTTCAAGAGTTTTGATATCTTTTCCCAGAAGATTGTATCCGTGTGTTTTAAATGAAGCAACACGTTCATTTCTTACATTGAGATCACAAAGTGAGTGAAATACCTTGCACATTTTCTTATATTTTGTGCAATTGACGGAGGCAAACTATCGACCTTTGATTGGACATCTCTACTATTCGTTTGTGCGGTTGGCGCACTTGTGCTATGAACAGAGCCCACAAAATTTGGTGAGCTTGTACTTCGGGGTATGTCCTCATTGTCACTATCATCGCTGAGTTGGGTTGACGACTGTCGTTCGTCTCCATAACCTTTGTCACTAAAATTTTCAGCGGAGTAAAAGGCTATGTACGCATAAGTTGACACCTTTGCTTCCACTTTTGTGATATATCAGAGACGAATGTATCGTCGACCTCATAAACTCTTCCATCTTTGAATATTACAGCTGTGTAATGGCCAACATCAATACCTGAGCCGTAATGCAATGCACATGAGGATAATTGATAAGTGGCCGATGCACCATCATTCTGCAATGTTAATTTTAATGGCAGTGGAACTCTCTGACAACTCTTCGTAACTCCTGATCCATTTGAAATAAATCTTTTGAAACCAAGGCATAAAATTTTAGGCAGTGTTTTGAGTTCACCTATGCGAACGTGATTCGTCCTCACACTGCATGTGCTACAGTGTGTAAATACAGAATCGACTAAACTCTCTTCGATTTTTTCTGTTAAGGTTTTGTTGCCATTGTCAACGGAAGCAAAAAGCGTCATGAAGGTTTCCTCATCATGCAACCGAGTTTTTCCACATACATCACAAATTTTTGCGAAACTATAAAACTCTCGTGAATATCGTGTTGTTGGCCACTCGCATAACCAAAATACTTATTAAAAATGTCGTGCAGCTGTTGTGGATACAAAGGTTTGTCATTCGTGTTTTTTAATATTCGCAAGGTTTTATTCAGTACTTTCACTACAGTTGGATTACATTTTGTCGTTGTTTCGGGGTATTCAACTTTTAATGCATGCAAACATTGCAGAAGACTGTTCAACCAGCAATCGTTACCCTTATTGATTAAACCTCTTGTTAATTCTTTTCTTAGCAAAGACACGTGCATCTTGTGCGACGCACCAATGGATTTGCTGGATTTCGTACGCTCGCTGTCTTTACTTTGTTTGTTTTTTGTCAACATAATTGTATCCTTGAAGCGGAACTTGTCCTCTGCCGACATATCTAGCCATAATTTAGCTGCCTCTTTCGTTAAAAACGCGTTAGGGCGATTTTTAGAAGCTCTCTTTTTCTTACTACCTTTATGAAAAAAATTTAAGAATGATGACGGTGGACGTCTACTCTGTGTACATTTATTGATTTCTGGAGTTTCGCTTAACGGAATTGCCGGTGACTGCTGGAA